ATTTTGTAATGATATCTTCAATTCTCTAATTTTGGTGAATATTTTTGTCATTTTTGGTAAAAAGTGATATTTTCGACTTCTTGTTAAAAACCACAAGTCCAATTGCTTTGATATTACATATATAGGTACTACATGTGGACCACTCTCAAATTTGTTCATTTCATGATGATATCTTTAATTTTCTAATTTTGGTGAATATTTTTGTCATTTTTGGTAAAAAGTGATATTTTGACTTCTTGTTAAAAACCACAAGTCCAATTGCTTTGATATTACATATATAGGTACTACATGTGGACCACTCTCAAATTTGTTCATTTCATGATGATATCTTTAATTTTCTAATTTTGGTGAATATTTTTGTCATTTTTGGTAAAAAGTGATATTTTCTTCTTGTTAAAAACCACAATCATTTATGGTGAAAAATGATATTTTTGAATTCTTGTTGAAAACAGCAAGTCCCATTGCATTGATACTATGCATATTGTTCATTTTCTAATGATATCTTCTGTTCTTTAATTGAAATGTGCATTGCTAACAGCGGAGCTATCTCAGCCGACAGGCTGCTTGTTTTTAGATCTAATTTTTAATTGGCTACATGTTTGCAATTCTGTCAAAGTGTGATCTGTTTCACACGCTAAAAATACATACTATGTTTACATTAGTTTTGTTCCTCATCATATCTTTGTAACCATGACAATATTAAATCAAAACTGAATTTGTTTTTCTTTTTTACAGGCAACACCAGGTGCAGATAAACGCTTTAAACAAGAACCTCCACAGTGAACTAATCATAATATCCTAACGTAACATTGTGATAACAATTCGTTAATAGTCACTGAATTACTTGACTCAAGTGACCTTGGAATATAGATGAGAAGCAATGCCTGTTGAACATTACCGACTGTTACCCGTCTTGATGTCTTAATCTAAAAAAACCCATTCTTATAAGTCAAGAACAAGCTGTGAAATCTGCCATGTTTTTGCATATTTTTATTGACCTTGAGGTCACACATCCTGGTACTTTCTGACCCCTAAAGATCACACATCCTGGCACTCTCTAACCCCTAAAGGTTATACATCCTGGTACTTTTTGGCAATGTGGGTATTGTCATTCTATACAGGCAATAATTTCCAATACCTCAAATTATGCCATATTAACAATTTCTTTTAATTTTCTTGGATTTTCTCAAAATACACTTGTGAAATTTTCATTTATAGTGAATTTTACAAGAAAATTTTACCTTTTGGAGGTCAAAAATATGACCCATTGAATTATGTAATAAATATTGGGTACATAACTGCATATATTCAAATCTGATCGCTGGGGGCGCTAGTATATGTAGGTTCATGTGCATTTTGACTTTTACCGGTACTTTAGCTGCTCTTTTAGCAATTTTTTTTTTTATATATTTTTTCATCATTGGTTAGCCAAAAAATAAATTTTGTACTGCCATCTTAAGACACACACTATAAATTTAGGATTTACAGCCGAAAGGTTGATGCTTGTTTTGGCAAAAAATAATTTCTAGCTATTAGTATTATTAGTATTATTTTTGTATTAGTCTAAGCTAATCTCTTATGTTTGCATATCGATCCAATTATGATGATGCATGAGTGTGAACAACTGTTAGCACAGGCCAACACCCAAAATTGTTGAGAATATACAAATCTTCAGTCCTATGATTAAGTCCTATTATAAGTAACCAGGAAGGTATACATGTTAGTTGTATGGTATAAAACAATACCAAATAAAATTCAGAAAGTGTAGATTCCAGAATAACAAGAGTCTTGTCAGTTCATTTTTTTTCATGTACTTGCATTGATTGTTATGTTGAAAATGGCATACCGAGCTATGTGTGAACGCAACTATTGGCAATGTGACTTGTCACTGTATTCTTACTTCTATTAGAAATCATTCAGAGGTCACACGAGTTTTGCTGACATCATTCAGAGGTCACGCTAGTTTTGCTGACATCATTCAGAGGCCACGCTAGTTTTGCTGACATCATTCAGAAGCCCCACTAGTTTTGCTGACATCATTCAGAGGTTGCACTAGTTTTGCTGACATCATTCAGAGGTTGTGCTAGTTTTGCCAACATTCAGAGTTGCACTAGTTTTGCCGACATCATTCAGAGGTTGCACTAGTTTTGCTGACATCATTCAGAGGTCACGCTAGTTTTGCCGACATCATTCAGAGGTTGCACTAGTTTTGCCGACATCATTCAGAGGTTGCACTAGTTTTGCTGACATCATTCAGAGGTCACACTAGTTTTGCTGACATCATTCAGCGGGCCCACTAGCTTTGCTGACATCATTCAGAGGCCACACTAGTTTTGCTGACATCATTCAGAGGTCACACTAGTTTTGCTGACATCATTCAGAGGTCACACCAGTTTTGCTGACATCATTCAGAGGTCACACCAGTTTTGCCGACATCATTCAGAGGTCACACTAGTTTTGCTGACATCATTCAGAGGTTTCACTAGCTTTGCTGACATCATTCAGAGGTCACGCTAGTTTTGCTGACATCATTCAGAGGTCACACTAGTTTTGCTGACATCATTCAGAGGTTTCACTAGCTTTGCTGACATCATTCAGAGGTCACGCTAGTTTTGCCGACATCATTCAGAGGTTGCACTAGTTTTGCTGACATCATTCAGGGGTCACACTAGTTTTGCTGACATCATTCAGAGGTTGCACTAGTTTTGCCGACATCATTCAGAGGTCACGCTAGTTTTGCCGACATCATTCAGAGGTTGCACTAGTTTTGCTGACATCATTCAGAGGTCACACTAGTTTTGCTGACATCATTCAGAGGTTGCACTAGTTTTGCTGACATCATTCAGAGGTCACACTAGTTTTGCCGACATCATTCAGAGGTTGCACTAGTTTAGCTGACATCATTCAGAGGTCACACTAGTTTTGCTGACATCATTCAGAGGTTTCACTAGCTTTGCTGACATCATTCAGAGGTCACGCTAGTTTTGCTGACATCATTCAGAGGTCACGCTAGTTTTGCTGACATCATTCAGAGGTCACACTAGTTTTGCTGACAACCCATTCTAAAACACATGGTCTGAACAGATACTTCAATTTTGCATGAGGTCATACTTAGATTCGATTTTTACAAATATAAAGCATAAAAGTTCTTTATCATTTGCGCATATGTTGATACAGCTTGATTTGACTTCAGCTTCAAACACAAGGAATCTGAATACACCAATAATATGTAGATTACCTTGTGCTAGGAACTCAGCATAAAACGATGTGTTTGGTAAATTTTTTTTAATAAATTAATCTTGTGAATAATTTTGAAATTTTAACGAATCACCACAATAACTTGTAATTAAATTCAAACATTTTAATTGGCAATGTTATGTTCATATACTGTAGATTACTTTATTTTTGCTTGGAATTAATTTTCTCTGAATAATAAAATCCAGCAAAAAAAATAACTTTTTTTCCTATATTTTACATTCAACTCGTCAAAAAAAAGTGAAAATAAATTCCATGCAAA